TTTTGAAAAAATCGTGCCCGCCATCTTGGATTTAGAAATGAGTGCCATATTCGTCATGAGCATCCCCAAGTACCTCGAAAATGATACCCATATTGCATTTATTTCAAAACTCGTGTCCGCCATCTTGGATTTAGAAATGAGTGCCATATTCGTAATGAGCATCCCCAAATACCTCGAAAAGGATACCCATATAGCATATTTTGAAAAATCGTGTCCGCCATCATGGATTTACAAATAAGTGCTATATTCGTTTTCATCGACAAAACCGAGCACATCTGTAGGCACCTGATCGACAATGTCGGGCAAATCTGTAGGCACCTTTAACTTAATGATGAGTTAAGCAAGATACAATTTCCCCACTTTTGAGGGAAATGTTATTCCATGGCATCATTATTTGTATATTTGTGTGCGTGCCGACGAGCGTAGTTACAAGTTGCTTACGCCTACATGAATTTGGTTTTTGCCTCACTTGTGACAGTTCGTTTGATATGAAACTATCATTCTATGCGTTATTATTCTAAGGGTGTGTATTATTTTTGAATGGAAAATAGTCAAAAGAGATTACTTTACAACCGCCTCTCGTACATGTTCCAAACAAAACACTATCAATGGACAGTGCTTTGTTTTAGTGTTGAATGGGCCTTCCGCTTACTAATTATAATTATTATATTATTAAAAAGAAAAACTATTAAGTAAATAACAACAAAATACAGTCGAGTTGTTGAAATTGTTGATGTTATGTTATGTAGGTACTTTTCCTTAAAGTCGTTGCCTATTTTATTTAAAAAATCAGGATCAAATTCATGCTAAAAATAACGAAAATATTACATCATTTCATAGTAAAATACAAAATCTTGGTACTTAGTGCCCATAAATTTGATCTTTATGTGGTTACTCATAGCAAGGAGTGACATTTTCATGTTGTCTATGTCGCAATTCATTTCGTGCTCCGAAGATTTGCGAAGTAGAAATTCACTTGTAACGTCGTTTTTATCCTCGAGCTGTCTGCAAAATGAAAGAAAACAAGGTTTTATAACCGTGAGGTTTAAATTATAATTTAAAAAGATAATTGTTCAATTTCCAATATATATTCTCAAAACCTACTTAGTTGATTCAGTTGACCGTTTCTTTAATCGTCTATAGAATGAAAATCAATCCAAGTTGATTGATCGATTAGTCGATTGTCCTCGATGGACGTTTGCGTTTCTTTAACAGAAAACGCGTCGACGACCCATCTCTACGTCGATATTATCGACATAATACAATTCAAGAAAAATTATTTCAAAACTAGATTAAAACTTGCCAATAACTTTGTAGATTAGGCGAAATGAGCCCCGCTCTAGGGAAATCTATGGCGGGTGCCTTGGCAACCACAAATTACATCCAAACTCACGAGAAAAATAAATGTAAGCCATACATATTCTTCACGCGGCCCTGAAATCGAATCCGGGACTTCTGCGTGGCAGACCAGCATCTTTTATCCCTTTCATAATCAACCCATTTATATGTCCCACTGCTGGGCACGGATCTCCTCTCAGGCGAGGGTTTAGGCCAGAAGTTCCCAGACTTTTTTTCTCATAGACCACTTTCAAAATTTAGCTGGTTCCGGTGGACCCCCTGCAGCTACATTTCTATCATATTCCCAAAACTCGACAAAAACTGTGAAGATTAGATCTAACTATGGAAATTTGCAACACAAATTGCTGAGTTCCAACCACAAATTAATAGTTTTCGAAAAAAAAAGCGAGAATTTAATTGATTGTGCTGTGAGTGGATGTCAAAAAAGTAAAGACACGTTGTACTGAATATGGAATATGCAAGTTTTTACAAGTAATAGTCGCTGAGCTTCTTAAAATATTATCTGCCTGCATTGATAGGTGAAGTCAAGCCAAAATTTTAGTTCTTCACTATCGAAAGCAGATAAATTTTCGTGGACGAACACTTACGAATTGTGAACCCCCATTTTTTTGTCACGCCAACGTAGACCCCCGTGGAGTCTCCCGTGGACCCCTGGGGGTCCACCTGGACCACTTTGGGAACTAAGGGTTTAGGCCATAGTCCCCGTCACGCTGGCTCAATGCGGGTTGGGTACTTGACACGTTTTCCGGGTGTTGTCGACTTTTTTAGACTTGCAAGTCTCATCACGATGTTTCCCTCGTGGTTAAATTTCAAATTGATGCTGACAAATTAATTATAGCTCATCATCAACCAAAACTGCTGGGTTTGTATTTCCCCGAAGGATTCAATCGAAACTTACTTTAGAATGTTTCGCATGTACCGGTGTCGCTTCAAAATCTCCATGGGTGGACATCCCAGCTGGTTAAACGAATTGTCAATGTTGTCGGTACAGTCGCGTGATGTAGATGGCTCCATTGCGTCTGTGATCGTGTGTCGTATTATTGGCGGCTGGAAGGCAACACAACATTGATCAGTCCTAGATAAGCTTTTTTTTTTCAATTTGAAAGCTAATGAAGAGACGGTATATATGAGAGAGAGAGAGAGAATGCGTTGGCGAGACGATGACGCTGAAAAGAAGCTAGTGTGGTGGTCTCTTAATGAACATCTATTCAGCTGTTTCAAGACACAGATCAAGGTTACAATGACGTAGGTTATTGTAATCAGATTTCAGTGAATTTTATATTTTTTAACCGACTTCAAAAAACTCGAGTCTCATAAATGACAAAAAATTGCCGAGACTCGAAATTTTCCTCCATTCCAGTTAGTTCAACTATAAGTTCAATCAGTTGAACTAATCGGACTCAAATATTCCAATTAGTTCAACTAGGTACAACTTTTCTAGAAGTTGAACTTATTGGACGAAATTGGCCGTAATATTAAAAAAATTTAGTCATAGGTAAAACTCTCTGCTACATTTACCTTTCAGACCGCCTTATTGAAACCTCTGACGTATTTATTACTTCTGTCAAAAAACAGTCAGCCGTCTAAAGCGGAAACTTCGCCAGCTTCCGGGGCCTAGTTTTCTACTTTCAACTACACACTTCAAAAGTGTCTAGGGTTCAAGCACGTTTATGTCAATTACTGAAAATCAGGTTTTTAATATTTTTTCTTAACACCGATGGGTTGTTCTTGGTCAATTTTACAATTTGAATTTGAAAATGAAATTGAGCAAAAAAATCAATAGGTGTCAAAAAACCTGATTTTCAGTAATTAAGCAAAAGCGTAGGTACTTGATTCCTAGACACTTTTGGATGTGTGTAGATGAAGGTAGAAAACTAGTGCACCGGGCCCTGGAAGCTGGCGAAGTTTCCGCTTTAGACGGCTAAGACTGTTCTTTGACGGAACAAGGCGGAATATTTACATTATCTATTCTTATTTCTTATTTGGTGCAATTAGTATAACGAGTTCCTTTTACACGTTCTTAATAACAAAAAGATTGATTTCATTAGGTTCTTTTTAACCGACTTTAAGAAAAGTAGGTTTTCAATTCGACTGGTATTTTCTGTGCGAATGTTGTGCGATTACTCAGATGAACCGATGTTGACGATTCTTTATCCGGTTAATTGGATTTCTTATTGATTGTTTTCAAGAATACCGAACTATAATGGAGATCATACAGAACAATAAATACAATAAAAGTGTTTAGTGAGCGTGACACGTGGGCCAACAACATGAGAAGTTCCACAAACTTGAGCTCAGTCCGCAATTTTGTCTTCTACTTTATGGTCGTGTCAATTATCTCGCGCAAAGCCTCGAAAATGGTGGAATGGATGGTTGGAATGGATGCCTTATTTTGCTCGTTTCGAGTGGAAAAATGATAATCCCATCTATAATATTATGCACGATGGTATATATAATAATAATAATATATCTTTATTGTTTCTCTCACAAAGTCTTAGTATAAATACAAAAACAGTGCTTAATTATCTAAATAGTACAATATTTAAGTCTGTGTGAGAGACTGGCATCCGTACTAGGAGACCTGTATTACAGATCACCAGCCCCTCCACACTCCGGACAAGCAAGTACAGCTTACTTATACTTAGACAGTTACATCAAGAAATGACTTTATTAATAGACTTATCATCGTTAAGTCTTATTTTGTTTAGTTTTAATAAATTATCAATTTTGTGTGTTGTTGTGTTCATCGTCTTTCAGCTATTGCCGCTAGATGGCAGTACATTGAATAAAATTTTAAAATGAAATATAATTAAAGAAATAAAATCAAAGTCAAGTCGTAACTTCCAATAATAGGTATTGAACTTTGACCAATATGCCAACAGGGTAAAGTATAAATTATATTAACAGTCCAGAATTTGTTACATCTTTTCAAATTAGAAACTACGACCCATCATTATAAGATTTCACAGAGTTTAACATTACGATAGTGTGACTTTTGGCGACAGCGGTTCTAATAGTACTCGAGGCTTAAGGCCCTTCCATGGATTTTTCTTTCGTGGGGTATTCTCTAATTACAAATGAAACGTGATGGAATTGCGATTGTGACATTCTGTGTCATAGCTGATTGATTTTTATAATTAACATCTTATCTTACCTTATCACCGAATTTTCTCAAATAAAGCTTCCGCATCAAGGCAGAAGTAACGACCGGCATTTGCTTATTTATTTGATATTTTCTAATCGTTTTATTCCAGGCATGGTGGGAGTTCTTGATTGCAACTTCTCTTTTCACCTCTACCATTATTGACTCAAGGTCTTGTGTGTCTGATAGCCTGTCAATTGCATGGCAGAGGGACTTTATGAACCAGGTGCCATTTTGTTCCCTGTCAAATTGATTTCAACATAATAAATGAAAATGCGTGTAAAAATTGTGCTAGCAAATATGTAGTGGCGTGACTTCGAAATTCTGGGGTTGGCAACTCTATCATTAGTGGAGGAAAATAATTTCAAAATATCAGAGGAAAATTTTTCAATCAATTTCTTATTGAATATCTTCAGAAAAATCTTGTTGAAATAACCTCGTGTGCAGCGCGACATAAATGGAGGTTTACCACGAAACACGAAGCAACGATCATTGTTTTAGCTTCGTATCGGGCCGGAGGCTACCACGAAACACGTATAAAGATTTGACATGTGCTTATTCCGAAACGTCAAATAATAGCTTTCGTATCGAATTTTGACATTACTTTCATCGTAAAACTGACATATTATGTAGTACGCACATCGAGTATATAACCAGAAATAGAGACGAAATCAGGGCCATATATTCCTGGTAACACATTAGTGATACAGCTCTTATAAAAATCAAGAGTTGATTTGCATTTTCACTGAAATACAGACAGGCCAACTACTGACCTGTGTGCACGTCTCCGTATATTCCAAATAATATTATGTATTAATTGTAATAAAGATAATATCTCTAACAATGCCGTGCTGTTCTTTTCGGTGGTGTGGGAAAAACAGCAAAACATCTAATTACAAAACAAACGGAATCACATTTCTTCGGTAAGTAAATATTAAATATGTGATTTTGCTTAGAATAATAACGCATAGAAACCTAGTCCGCACACGCTAAGTGAGGCAAATTGAAGCGCGCCCAAAGGGCCTACACGAGCGGGCGGGCCTTCAGTGCTCAAGGTCAACTTGCACCGCGAACATATCAAGAATTTTAGCTAAAAATGACGAAATGTGCGGTAAATGAGTGTAAAAATACGTCAGACAAAAATAAAATAGATACTAACATCACATTCCACAAGGAAGTAACGCGTTTCAACTAGTATTTTTATATAAATATTTACTATAACCGAAAATTAACCTACTACTAAAACTAGCCTACATGAATTTGATTTTTGCCTCACTTGTGACAGTTCGTTCGATATGAAACTATCATTCTATGCGTTATTGTTGTAAGTGATTTTGCAATTTTCGTCGGATTTGAAGTGCAACAGTTGACGATACCCATTGACGACACCCGTCAATTGTTTCGAACTCGGGCTAGCCGATCGGAGCTCAGTTGTCACAGTAATGATATGGCAGAATACTTAGTTTTCAAACAAATTAAATGACATTTCGTCTCTATTTCTGGTTATATACTCGATGAGTACGCATGAGCTTCGTTACGGATGCAGTCACGTAGTATATTGTCGGGCATAGTGCACATCCGCGTATGTAGTTAATTACTACAGGACAGGGATATAACGTTATTACTTTGGTAATTCAATAGCCACGACTTTTATCTTTGCACAGTAAATGTTAAATCTGTGTTGTCTACGGACTGATAACACTAGTTTTCCTTAAATCACGCTAATTTGGTTGCCACAACATTTACGCGGTTTGGTTGGGTCATTAAATTACCGACATGGAAACTCATACTCCAATGCTAATTACGCGTAATAAAACATTGTGATATTCAATAAACTTAATATTAAATACTTGCAAATTGTATCACCTATGCGAGGCCTTGCTGATATAAGAACTATGCAGCACTATAGTATCAGCTTCCACTGGTAGATGGTAATGTTCCACCTCCTCTTTAAGGATCGAGTCTTTTTCCGTGAATTTCATTTTTTGCCCAGCTTCCGCTGCATCCATATCTCTGATACCCCTACATGCCTAGAATTTACAGTAATTGTGAAATTAGAATGATTTGTTTCTTTTTTTAACCGACTTCAAAAAAGGAGGAGGTTCTCAATTCGACTGTATGTTCTTTTTTTTTGTATGTATGTTACGCGATAACTCCGGTATTTGTAAAGCGATTTTCATGATTCTTTTTTTGTTGGAAAGGGGGTACTGCCATAGTGGCCCCATTTCATTTTGAAGAAAATCATCCACCTCGAAGGGTGGCTGTCCACGCATGAAGATTCATTTTTATAAATAGCGCTTAACTTTAATTTAGGAGCAATTACTTTAATGTTTGATTTTGCTATTTCTCCAATTCAACGCGTTTTTCTCTCAATATACTTTGAGTAGTGTCGTAGTGAGAACCTATTTTTATTATCTCCAGTGTCAAGTCCTGCATAGTGGCGAACTAGGGGATATTTCAATAAAACTTAGACGTAATTCCGCGTACTTTTGAGGTCGGTTTTTTTAGTACTCTGTACTGAGATTATATGACACCAAGTGATGGGACGAACAAGTCGCGCGCCTGGTGGTAAGCGACTCGCCTGTCCATAACAGTTGCAATGTCGTTCAGTGTTTGAAATCGCAAAGATATATGAGACATATCTAATTTGCCAAGTGTGTAATTTCACCCGCACTCTTACCGTTCAAAACCGGAATGCAGTAATGCTCTCATTGCTGTTTGGTGGTAAAAATTCGCAGATAAGGTTAGGTTAGGTAGGTTCATCTTGTTCTGGTGCGTAAAGTCAATCCCGGATACCTATCACTAGAGCACCCGAAAAGAACACCGTGGGGTTTTAGCCGGTAGAAGTTCGGTAACCTCTCTGCTACCCCCACGGCATAAAGCTATCCTAGGAGGATTTCCCCAGGAAAAAATGGTAGGGTGGCAGTACTTCCCTAGACGTATTCTTTCACTGCTACTAAAAATTATTTTCTTTTAACTTTTTACCGCCTTCAAATTACAGTCTGTAATTTTTCGATTCCACGATCGATTACTCAGACTTTTGTGAATCGATTTTGAGGATTCTTTTTTCTTGGAGAGAAAGTCGTCTTATGTCACTACGTCTCATGGCTCTGTTCAAATTTGAAGAAAATGTTCCAAATCTAAGTATGGCAAATTAGGGAATGAATCCGGTGGCACTGCAACTGTTAGGGACAGACGTGTTGCTTACCACCAGGCGCACGAACTGTTCGATGAAAATAAAATATCATGGTGACTTAAACCTGGTCTGATGAAGGACATGATAGACGGCTGAGAGTAACTCCTCAGCAGTGCACATCATTTCAATGATAATGACAAGACATAGTGTATATCGAGTTCTTAGGTTTTCGCGATTGTTACACATACGAAATTAAACTATTTTTCCGGATTTAAATCGCGTATACTTGTTTTTTCAAACAAACCAACGTTTCGGGCCCTTTACAGGTCCCATGGTCATGGTTGACTGAGCTGGTGAAGTCATCAACCAGTTATGTCTAATATTAATGCAAACCACCCTATTTTTCACTATAGTTGCAAAAAGTTATTAATTAAAGACTTTATTTTAATTTTACAAATAAACATTCCAATTTACGCTACATTATGTTTTACAAATTATTTTATTTTAACAATATGAATTTTTATCAATTTAAATTTATTATTAATTATTTATGGAAATTAGAATAAATCAAAATATACAAATAACAAAAAACAAATATACGCGATTTATATCCGGAGAAATAGTTTCATTTCCTAAGATATAGTGTAATTATATTTTACGACAAATTGTTAAGTACCTATGATTTAAAAAGTAATGACGTGTTTGGTATAAACAATAATCAAATTATTTTAGAAAACATGGTGTTTCCCTTTTGAATATAATGGATAGTAATCAACATCTATTATTATTTGTAACAGATGATTCTAAATTTTACCTTAAACTATGTACATATTTGTATGTTACGTACGCAATTATGGCGCGTTATGATAAAAAAGACGCTACTAACTATTATACTTACGTTACTTTCTGCAAAAAATCAGATAATTGATTTTATAGGTTAAATAAATTAGTCCACTTTTTTATGTACAAACAGCACAGTTACTTTTTACAGAAAGTTACTTTTGAGAAGCTGAGGCCCGAGTCCGGTTGAATTAACCAGAGTGGTTTCCAAGTCACGTTGACGGCTTGTGTTGGCAACAGACGCCATCTGTTGACGCGTGATCTCTTCACGTCGCCATTGACGACTGGCGTTTGTTGCCAACACAGGCGGTCAACGTGACTATGAAACCAATTCAAACTGACCTGGATAATCACGACGACAGGTTTAGTGACCAGTTTAGGTTTGTCCTTGTGCTTGAAGTATTCTAGGATGTCCTGCTCGCTGTACGAGTCGTCTTTCGCCTTCAGAAGGCCTTGATCTCCGCCGTGGGTCATCACGACTATTGCCACGCACCCGTAGTCGGTAAAATCCATCTTGCTGACTGCAAAGATCGGAACGATTTAGAGTGGTTTAAATTGCATTTGTGTCGTTGCTAAAAGTTGACGTGTATAATCGCTCTTGGGTGCACTTTTGGTTTTCGCTAGTTAAAAACTATTTAAAAGAGAGCAAAGGGCTGGTACAGGTTACATTCACACTGTCACCGCGTTATGGAATTTTGAACATTTTTTTTATTGTTCTAACATATCAACTAAGCTACGTAGGCTACACGCCTGTCAATAACAATTGCAGTGCCACCCAGGACTTTAAATCGCAAAGATATGAGGGCCACTGCCACTGCGCCCATCACCCAGAGACATAAGTTGATAAGACCCATGTGCCTGTAATTAATTTAATTAATTTAAGCCGTGGAAGCTTAATTAATTTAAGCCGTGGAAGCTTAATAGTTTACCTACTGCCTGTGAAGCAGAGGTCGTGGGTTTGAATCCGGGCTCGCACCACTGAGTTTCTCAGAATGTATGTGCCAAATTTAATTGAAATTTACCATGAGCTTTTCGGTGAAGAAAAACAACTTCATGAAATCTGCACTTCGAAGAAAGTTATTGGGCCAGTCTGGCGGTTTGTGGTCTAACAACCGAACAATTAATTTAAAAATTTTACAAAACAAGCTTACATTTATCCAATGTTTCAAAAATTTCCTTCTTTGTAAGATCCGGATATTCTTTTACTTCAAAATTGAATCTTTTAAATGTTTCTCTAATACGCTTCCCGTCCTCTTTAGTGCCGACTCTAGGTTTATCATATCCTATGATATTATATTGATTGAATATTATCATAGCATTCTTTTCAAATGTTTCCAGTTTGTAGGTTGGTTCATCAGCAGCAAGAGCTCTCGTGTTTCTATCATCAACAATTATCGTTTCAGAATCACTGTTCTCCATATCTGATTTTCTATCGTCAGGATTGCCTTAAAATAACAGATCGTATGATTAATACATCAAACATTAAACTAAAATAAGGTAATGTATAGCGGGTACTATTCTCACTATATCATAACTAACGTAACCGACATTTTCAGCGAAATTGTGTTAATAATATTATCTGGGATCAGCAAAATGGGGTCTTCAAACTCTCTTTTAATATCTTATTTTGTTTCGGTTTTAAAGCAAAAGCAGCTTAATTGACATTTTTTTAAGAGTCAATAAAACGTAGGTGTCAATATCTCGATAATTACCGAAATGCAAACGTGTTAGTTATGACAAGGAGAGTATAGGTACCAAAGTAAATGCAAGGGCACTGCCCAGAACACCAAATCAAAAAACAATAAAGCGAACCTCGTTTTCTAAATTATGTTAACTGATAATAACTTTAGTCAGAAATAATAATATTTTCTACATTCAAAATTGTACCGTTTCAAACAATTTCATTTTCAGCTTTCCGTCATTGTATGTAAAATAACTTGAAATTTAACGTATTTTCTCTTTCTAAATTTGTAATAACACATAATATCTCAAACTATTACGAGGCCCTATTTATTATTTACAGTGGGTTTAAAAAATACCTGTTATACATGAAGTTAGATATTTCGGAAGATTACTTAGTTTCGGATCAGTTGTTACAAATTCATTGTCATCAGCGTTTATATCAAGCGTTTTAAGTTCTTCAGACATATCGTCACTCTCTCTTGCATCTGTAAAATAAAAAATAATTAAGCTGTGGTAGGTTTCACCTTGACCTAACTTTTCAAGCTAAGGCTGTTGTATTTGAATCCGGACTCGTACCTCTGAGTTTCTCGGAAGTTATGAGCGAAATTTAATTTGCAAGTTACTGTGAGTTTTTCGGTGAAGAATAACATCGGGATGAAACCAGCACGCTTAATCGTAGAAAATAGTATCTGCTATAAAATTCAATATTCATTATGAAACGCCATCTACTTGTAGTGCAGATTCGTGCAAACACAGACAACAGTTTATAGTGAATTCAAATTCTGTGTTACATGTCGTTATGAGACAGAAATCTCTTAAATGAAACTTAAATAAAAAATAAAAAAGCCCCTGATACAAATCAGCGCACTCAAAAATCAACCTACTAGTAGTCCGAGACCAATCCAACGAACACAAACCGGGTGGGTCTACCTTTAATAAAGGTACGTTCCTGTGTCCACCTTCCTGCTCCATCATCCGATGCTAGTCACCATCTGCAACCTAACAACTCGCCGAGATGAATCCAACGAATACAAACCCGATGGGTTTACCTTTAATAAAGGTACGTTCCTGCATCCACCTTCCTGCTCCGTCATCCGATGCTAGTTACCATCTGCAACCTAACAACTAGTCGAGACAAATCCAACGAACACAAAGCCGGTGGGTCCACCTTTATTAAAGGTATGTTCCTGTGTCCACCTTCCTGCTCCATCATCCGATGCTAGTCACCATCTGCAACCTAACAACTCGCCGAGATGAATCCAACGAATACAAATCCGGTGGGTTTACCTTTAATAAAGGTACGTTCCTGTGTCCACCTTCCTGGTCCATCATCCGACGCTAGTTGCCATCTGTAGCCTAACAACATTTTGTAAGGAGCTCTAAACAAGAACCAAACCTTTTACTCTTTTCTTATAATAAAACGTCAGAGGTAGATACGTTAAACTCAAATTATGTCTAGTTTTAGTTGAAGTAATAACTGACCACATAAAACAATCCCAGTGTTGGTAAAAACGCGGAGAGTCTGTATAAGTTACATTTGGACATTTTACATTTTTTAGAATTTTAAAGAACAAAGTCTATAGACGAACTTTGGATGAACTAACTTAGTATTAGTGGTTGTAGCAGAACGAAAAGAAGCAACCTAATTAAGTAATGATTGCATACAATACTATTTCTACGAGTAATTAAAAAAAAACACAACCAATATTTAATGTATATTTTGTTAACAATCCACGACAACAAACCCAAACGAAAGTCAAACAAAGGCTACAAAACAAAAAATCATAGAGAATAGAAGTGTCCGTGATTGGTCAAATACCGCTTATATTTTAAAATCAATCAGGAGGCAGAAGAGCGTTTGAGCAGCATCGTATGTGTTGTATACTCAAAGTATTTGATATATTAATTAACAAAAGTACGACATTCTTTTTTGAAACTCGTTATAGTTCTCTGTATGGAACTATACCTAATGAAATTTTTTAGTTCATCAAAGCAGTGCAGTGACAGTATCATAGACAATGTAGATTGTTGTTTCAGAATTAAAAAGAACGCCTTTGCGATATGGTTTATGAAACTAAAATTGAAAATTTAAAGCACAGGAGTAGAAAATAATTATTTGTTATTCAATTCAATTCAATTCAATTCAATATTTTTATTTCAGAAAATAATTTCCATAATATGTTAGTACGCTTTCAACTTAGTCTATGTTAGTATTAAATATTATCAAGTACATTTGTCACTAAATTTAACTAATTAACAATGTCGTCCAGTGGCAGGCTATTTTACACTCGAACTTACACCCCACCACCCTCATGATGGCATTGGAGCTGCCGCGCACTCTGAACATCAGCGACGCTACTTTCTTTCGAATTATCGCATGGAAGCCGTCAGTCCGCAACTTGGCAAACATGCCCGACGCACTGCAAGAACGCGGCAGCCCCAATAGCATCCTGAACGCGTTGTTATACTGAATACGCAGGGCGTTGTAGGTCTTCTGCGTATATGTCACCCACAGGCTGCTTGTATAAAAAGATTGGCAGAAGGCCTTAAAAAGCGTAATCTTGACCGCTTCTGAGCAGAGAGCAAACCTGCGAGTGATCATATTACTTCTTACCGCCAACGCCCTACGCTCACGCTCGATGTCATAGTCATCCTTCAGGTCTTCGGTTAAAATGTGGCCTAGGTATTTAAATTGCTTGACTTGCAACAAAGCTTTCCCGTTTAACATGACAGGCGGAACGTTCAGTGGGGTACCTCTGCCGGCTGTGAAAACCATTATCTCACTCTTTTTGGTATTATACCTTAATCCATGAGTTTGCGCATAGGATTCACACACCTTTAGAAGCATCCTAAGCGCGCTAATCGATGGGCTCAGCAGCACCATGTCGTCGGCATAGCTGATGTTATTGATGTTAATGCCATCAATGAAACATCCCGCATGCATGCTGCTGAGCCCACGGATCAACTTATCCATGTACAAGTTGAAGAGCTTGGGAGACGTCAGTCCCCCCTGTCTCACCCCACACTCCAACCTGTACTCATCCGACCGTTCGTCCGCTCATCGCACACAGTTAACCTGGTTGTCGTACCAGTGCCTAAAGATGCCAATGAGCTCCGACGGGAGATTTGTCTCCTCCAATTTATTCCATAGAATGGGATATGACACTAAATCGAACGCTTTAGATAAGTCCAAGAAGCACGCATATACTGGCGTGCTTCTATCAGTGTAGTATCTGACAGTGTGCTTGAGAGCCAGAATAGCACTTTCTGTGGACAAGCCCGCTCTAAATCCAAACTGCGCATCATGAAATCTCATGTGCTTATCCAGGTGTTTATCAAGCACACCATCAAACACCTTTGCTGTTATGGTGGCTAACGATATAGGTCTGTAGTTGGATGTTACGCAAGGTTGCAAAGTTCTTGTTTGACGCGAGCGGTTGTATTGAAACCTGTGCAAGCGAAGGATACTCATTCGCTCTTGGTTCAAAAATAGTTTCAAGCCACGAGACGTAAAACAACTTTGCTGTCGAGCGAAAAACGCACAACTTTTGACCGCAATTTAGCGAGGAAAATGGTAGATGAAAGAAAAACAGTTGAACTATAAGAAAAAATTTAATAAACAAAATTAGTTATTGTTGTCAATTTACTGTCAACAATAATAGGAATAAAATATACCGACGGATTTATATAACCTATTTATATTATCTAGGACAAATCGCGTAGTTGTCCGTGTCATTATGTTTTCTTTCATCGAAAGAAAAAGTCAGAAGCGCCACAGTCCATCGTTAAATTCTAATTTCAGAAACATTTTCCACAAGTTTTGCGTGCTTTTGCGCTTTTGCGCGCAGATTTCTAATGAGAAAGAAAGCTTTTTCAAGCTAGTGAGGTGTAAAAGTAATTTAACATAGCCTAACTTTGTTCTTACCTTGAGTTTCAATATAGTCGTCATCGTCGAAAGGACGCCCGTCTACTTCAACTTCCGACGCCATATTAGTTTCTTGTTTGTTCTTCCTGCTCCGTCTTCTTCTATTGCCTGAGACTGACATGTAGTAAGATTTCTTTATTTTGATGATGTGCTGATTAATCAATCTGTAACAAATAAAAAGTGTCATTTAAAAGCTCATTTAAAATAATATATTAGTTTTAATGAGTAATGAGTTAAGCTCTTGAAAAAAAAACCTACATTTTAGTAAAGTTTCAAAATTTTAAAACCTTGTTATCCGTAGCTCACACTGAGTTAATATGGTGAACTATAACTTAGGTCTTCTAATATACGTTGGCTACACATTATATGGCTTGATATGGGAAGGTTAGTAAATATAACATAAATGTTTTATTTGAACACCAATTTTATTTATTCAAAACGTTTAGTTATCAAATGAAAAAATTTTAGTGGCAAGAAGTAGATAAAAAACTTGTTGATTTAAAAAAGAAACCGATCGAAAATAGCTTGTGTAATTCGTGAAGTTTTGGCAAGCATTGATACACACTCATGTTTTTGCGGGAATTCTGTTTTATACAGTTAATAAAATGTAAGTATTTTTAGCAAAAATGTACATTTAAAAGTGACGTAGAAAACGCTTTAGAGAGATGTTTTGCAGTAACGTCTATAATTGGTACAAATGCGTACAATTACAGACAAGTTGCTTATGAAGCAGTCATTAGGAGACTGAAGATTAATTAGAAATGAAACTATGAATCACGTAAAAAAGAAAGAAACATTAATTCGGCTGTGCACAAATAATATTACAAACATTACAACTAGACACAAGGTCTTTTAAAAACAAAAAGAATAAATATAATAGATTAAAAGCTAAAGTACGCAATATTAGCCGAAAAGGTCAGCCAGCTCAGCTTTATGTTGAGCCTCAGCTCTGGTTTTCAGCTGGAGCCTAAGAGGAGGTAGTTGGTTAAATACTTGCCTTATAAATGTTAGGTATTTAAAACCAAGAATAAAATAAAATTACAAGACGACAAACCTAATTCAAAACAAGAATATAATTATAAATTATCATATATGATAGTGCATTGTGCTCTTAACGAAGCTATACATATATACTATATACTTTAGTAGAAGTAGAGCTCCTTGTGAAAGAATTCGTCCAGGGAAGTACTGCCACCTTACCTATTTCTGCCGCCAAGCAGTAATGTCAGCATTACTGTGTTCCGGTTTTGAAGGGTAAGGGTGCTGGTGAAATTACAGGCACGTGGGATTTGTCAACTTATGTCTCAGGGTGACGGGCGTAGTGGTAGTGCCCTTCAGATCTTTGCAATTTAAAGCTCTGTGTGGCACTGTAACTGTTATGGACAGGCGTGTAGCTTACTATCAGGCGCGTGACTTGTTCGTCCCGTCACTTGATGTTATAAAAAAAATAAAGAAAAATACAATACAATACAAAAAATAAAAAATGTTCATAATGTCATTAAATTGGATGGAAACTGTCGTCGTTCATCTGTCGCATCTGAGTTTCCTAAATTCCTTTACGGAAGCCCGATTCAGAAACTATACGTATATTTGTTTTTTCAAACAAATCAACGTTCCGGGCTCGTTATAGGGTCTGTTAAAAGTCTGCTAATTTTAAATCATCTCGGTTGTGTGTCGAATGATCGTCAATGGTAGGATTTAGTACGTTTAGTGGCTCGACGTGGGTAGCTATCGTACTGCTGCAATTGTTGGTATTCTGCTGTTCAATAGGGAGTCGATGGCGAGAAGGACGACGGGACGGTGTGGCCAGCTTTGTCGTGAGGAGGGCGAGGACGTAGCTTCTCTCAGGCATTGGGAATTTACACTAGAGCACCCGAGAGGGCCATCGTGGGATTTTGGCTGGTAAACGAAGGTATCCTGGGAGGGTTTCCCCACGAAAAAAAGTTAGTTTCTGAGAAAAAAACGGTTAGGATTGGATTCTTTTTTATTACTTGGATTTTTTTAATGTGTTTTTTTATTAATATTAAGTGACGGGACCATTGACTTACAATTATATGGACGTCGGGTCCGCGCTAAAAAGTGTCCGCACTTACAAGGCGCTAAAATCGTATACAGAGCGCGACACTCCGCTTTAGTCTTCATTTGTTCTACGGACAGCGCGATACTGCGATGACATAACAATTTAAATTTCGAATAGGTTGACTTGGGACATTTTTTTCGTGGTTTTTGTATTCGACCCGTCGTCCATTTATTTGTAAGTCAATGGACGGGACGGACAAGTCGTGCGTCTGATGGTAGGCTGTTCTGCCTGTCCGTAATTGCTGCAGTGCCACTTAGAGCTTTAAATTGCAAAGATCTGAGGGGCACTGCCACTGCGTCCCTCACCCTGTGACGTAAGTTGACAAGTCCCATGTGTCTGTATTTTCACCAGCACCCTTACCCTTCAAAACCGGAACGCAGTAATGCTAAATTACTGCTTGGCGGCAGAAATAGGTAAGGTGTCTACGTTTGCGCAGCGCCTTAATCAAAATAACTGAGTAGTAGTAGGTACTGCTACATAATAGCGATAATTGTTGTGCAATGCTTCGTCTTCGGTCAATTGATTGATAACCATTAATTTGACAAAGATTTATTTTAACGATATCAAGTGACGGGACAAACAAGTCTAGGGTCTGGTGGATCGCCTACCACATAAGAAACCAGCACCCTTATCCCTCAAAACCGGATCGCAGTAATGCACATTACCTCTTGACGGCAGAAATAGGTAATATAATATAGGTTTATACGCGATTTCATCTTTTTTTTTGGAAATTCTCATTCAAATTCTCATTTAAATTTTAAGAAAATGTTCCACCTCTAAGGGTAGCAAATAAGGGGATGAATCTGGTTAATTGAATTTCACTCATTTTCCCTTAACCGATTTCAATAAAACTTGGCACATATATGTAATTCCACATTTATATGGCGAACGGCTATGGAGTGATATTCCCTACCTGCAGACTTGTTCCCTGAACGGTATAACTTGGATCTTTTCAAGGGGAGAGTGAATAGTCCACCTTATCGTCGCTTTCCATTAGGTGAGATGGACACCCTATTACCTTTCGTCGACTAGACTATTATCGTTCGTCCTACAGTTATCTGATCTCTGAGGACCAGGATGCTGACATCTTTTACGGCAGCATTAGCAAATATATAAGTAATTAGCAGTTTACGTTGTGTTTTTGTAAATAAATAATTGAAACTGCGGTAATAAACACAGCGAAAGCAGATAAGCAAACTTTTGAGGTCAGATTTTTTTAAGGCGTAATAGTATTGTATTTTAATATTATTATTTTCATTTCATTATTATCATTATCATTAATATTGCGATTTGTGTGTGTGATCGACCACGTAAAGCTGCCATGACCGGGTCGGGCTGAAAATCAGGGTTGTATTCATTACAAACTGATTTCAACATTTTCCTGACCTCGTGTCCGTCACACACATTCTTTTTATTTTGATTTAATTTTTTTTAAATTATTACAGTTAATTAATTTTGTAAGTTGTATAAAATGAGTGGCCTAAGTAATAGTACGAGATTTTAAAACCTAATTATGTAATGATTGCACAAAATACTTTTTCTACGAGTAAATAAAATAATGATTCAGAACCAATATTTAATGTATATTTTGCTAACAATTCAGGACAACAACCCTAATTTTTTTTTTTATAAATTTTAACCCGTTTATTAGGGTTGGCAAGGGCTCCACCATACAGTCTTTTCATATATTTAGCCAAACAAACGCTACAAAACAAAAATCAAAGAAATATTTTTACTAATATTTTTTTATAGAGTTTGATGGGAGATTTTAGGCCAATTTAACCAATCAGGAGGCAGTATAGCGTTTGTGTGGTGTCCTAATTGATATTTTAATTATCAAAAATACGACGTTCTTTTTTTGAAACTCATTAAATTCTGTGTATAGTATTTTACTCATTGTAGTTATCAAATTTTCAGCTCAGTGACGAGTACCATAGACAATATACAATATTGATTCAGAATTAAAAAGAGCGCCTAAAAGATATGGTTTATGAAATTATAATTGCAGATTAAAGTTAAAAAAAATTATTATGATATAATCTGTATGTTTTTTGGACACAGTGCCCCAAACTATTAAGTTACCGGTTTTTACTCATGTTGGCGTGCACGCATAAGTAACAAATAAGTGAAAAAAACAAAAAGTAAGTAACAAAAACAGGATCTGAAGTTTCTAATGAAGTGAGTTGAAGAGATTATTGTTTCGATGTTGATTTTCGGACATCAATTTTTTAGACTCATCCGAAGTCCGATGTGATTATACAACGAAAATAAGATAAATGCATAATAATCTCTTTATTTAAAATAAGGCCTAGCTATATGTGTTTGTCACGTAGAGGTCCCGGGTTCGATTCCCGGGCCGGGAAAAATATTTGTATGGGCCTACATTTACTGGGGTAGTTCCTGGAACACTCAGAACAGAACCAATTTAGAAAAAATATTTTTTCAATTTGGTCCTACCGGGAATCGAACTAGGGACCTACTTAGCCAGCGCCTACAGTGTAAGCCGTTGGGCCAACGAGGTTGTCACTGAATAACTCCGAAACTAGAATGTCAGGAAATGGTACTATAAAATACCTTATTTTTCAGTTTTTTTTTGATAATGTGTCCTATCTTATCTATGCGTTACTCATCGCACTCGACGATTATTTTTATCATTTGTGTTACAATAATGATTGATAAAGTGAACACACAATCAATAAACTCCCGTCCGATGATTTAGAATAGAATAAAAGCGCAAAATTATTACTGTCATACCAAATTGAACTGTATCGCCATAACGGATCTCAAGTTCCTGCTACGTAATAGCGTAAATACCTATACAGGAAATGGTAAAATTTCTTTAGCATCGCAATTTATTTCTTTTGTTACTAAAAGTCAGAAGATTTATTTTTTTTATTAAAAATAATAAGTGCATATTTGACCTCCATCTCACTTGATGGAAAGTGACGATAAGGTCGACGACGTAGCATATACAACACCTAAATAATGCCTATCCACTCTCCCCTTGAAAATATGCAAGTAATACCATTTAGGGAATAAATAACTAAGGCAGGGAATTCCACTCCACGGCCGTTCGCCATATAAATGTGGAATTACGTCTATGTGCAAAGTTTTATTGAAATCGGTTAAGGGAACGTTTGCCACGTCAAGGGACGAATAGGTTCCTGTCCATAACAGTTGTAGTGCCACTCAGAGTTTTAAATCGCAAAGATCTGAGGGGCACTGCCAATGCGCTCAGCACCCTGAGTCATAAGTTGACTAGTCCCATGTGCCTGTAATTTCACCAGCACCCTTCAAAACCTGAACGCATAAATGCTAACATTACTGCTTGGCGGCAGAAATAGGTAAAATGGCAGTTCTTCACTGGACAAACTTTTTCACACGTAGCTCTACTGCCATGACAATTGCAAACCAAAAAAAATTCACACAAATATTATCGAATGGAGGACCTCCACCTTTTTTCGATATGAAATCGGTTGGTGTTGTATAAGAAATCGGTAGCTAATTTTAAATCATCTCAAGTGTACGTCAATACAGTGCCAATGGCTGGATTTTGTACCTTTGGTAATCTACTTAAAGAAGTAGCTTGTCAGTGGATTAGCAGATTGGTATTCTGCTCTTCGATGGCACGCCGGTGGCGTAGTGTAATTAATATTATATAATAAAATGAACAAGATTCTAGATATTCACACCTTCCCATTAAGAGAACTTAAACTAACATCAAAGGACTGCTTGCAGAAACTCAGCTTCGAAACAGAGGACTTAATTAATAAAACATGGTAAACATTTTAACATTTAAATTACACTTATTTTTATACTTTATATGGACTGAATTCAAGACTTATATCGTAAGGCTCGTTCAAGTACAAACACAACACACAACGCACAAACACACACACGCACACGCACCACACATAGTTTTGCTTTTGGCGCGTGGAATGTTTGGCATTATAATGTTTGTAACTAAATCCGGAGAAGACATAGCGTCTGTCATAAAGTTTTATTTAAAATTAGTACGGACGCCAAAGTTCAACCTTATTGTTTAATAATGTCACCTAATTTTGTTATATTGACTCAATAAAGAACAATTTCAATTTCAATATTATATTAGATTTAATTTCAAGACTAAATTGCTATAATTATTAACACGAACATGGAACACTTAGAAAAAATTTCTTCGATCCGGCCGGATTCGAAGCGACGTCTTCTAGCAAACCGTGTCAGACGCTATTGCCAGCTAAGCCATGGAACGAACCATGGCACCTCACGAATTTTTCTATGTGCTTGTTGTCGTGTCTTTGTATTTGGTTTTTCAACGACTTTT